CCAACAAACGAGAGTTTCAGGGCACTGCTCTTCACAATCTGTTTTGTGATCAGATTGCCCGCCCGAACGATTAGGCAGGATCATCAGGGGGCTAGATGCGCTTAGCGAGTTTCACAGTGCTGCTCTTCACAATATGTTTTGTGGAAGTCGTCCATCCATCCTACAGCAGCATGCAAGCTACGGTACCAAGCGGCTTTCCATGCCCATCCATTCATCCTGCTCCTCTATGCGGTATACCTGGCCATGGGCAGCCTGGCCCGACCCGACCTGGCCCGGCCTGACCTTGTCCATGGGCCGGGCCGGGCCCGGGCCCGTCGATTTTGCTATTTAAGGAAGAGGCCCGGCCCGTGGCCCGAGGCCCGACGGGCTTTTGGTGTGATGGGCCGGGCTCGGGCCTGATTTTTAGGTCCGACGGCCGGGCTGGGCTGGGCTGGACTCAGGCCTGGGTTTTTTGCGCCGGGCTTTGGTTGGCCCGGACCGAAGCCCGGCCCGGCCCGAGGAATGGCCAGGTATATGCGGTACCGATAATCCTACACCTACGTAAACAAGCTACGAAGGGCTACATAAGTTTTCAATCTAAACCTATCCCCTCTCTGATTTTAACAGGATGGGCCCCTTGCCGTACTGTGTTGCCTATTCTATTTTCTCTGCCAGCTAGCGCTTCATCCACCCATGGATGGATGAGGTGTCCAGTACAACTTTTGACCAGCCGTCGTCTGTTCCTTTGTCACTGTAATTTTCCACTTGCCGGTCAGGACTGACGAACGGTACGCTATTTGATTTCTCTTTCCAAACGATATGGTATTTAATTTGATTTGATTTTACATTAATTATGATTCATTCCTTTCCTAACTTCTTCCTTAAATCTCGGCATGGTTATTTTAAAATATTTTGTTCGTGTCCAATCGTGAGGAGCAATGCTTCCTAAAATTTCTTTGCTTCGTACTCCCTCCGTTCCTTTATACGAGGTGTATTTACTTTTTCAGAAGTCAAATGAGTGCATATTTGACCCATTTTTTACGAAAAATATATCAATATCCACAATATGAAATTTATATTATTTGATCCATCAAGAAAAGCAGTTTCATACTTTATCTATTAGGTATTGCAAATGTTGTTTATTTATTCTATAACCTTCATCAAACATGCAAATGGTTGACTTGCACGGAAAAGCAATGCACCTTATATTCTGAAAATGGAGGGAGTATGAAACAAGATTGTTGCTTCCTATTATTTTCTTTTGCTTCGTACGAAAAGAAGTTTTCAACCGCTAGGATTTTTTTTCTTCCTACACTATTTTCAATCGCGAGGATCCTTGCTTCCAAAACTTTAGTTTGTTTTTCTTATTTGTTTTGGAATGTTATCATTTGTTTGGATCAAATTGCTTTCATATGCTTAGAGTTTGCACAAAAACTGTAGATTGCTTTGGTCTTGTTACAATTCTTTGAGACTATTTCAGTCTTGTAATTAGAAGTTGTGTCCAACATATTTTGTTTGAGCAGACAAAATATGTTTCACGCGTCAAGAGAATTGTTTGGAGTGTATGGGTCACATGCTTCCGACAAAGTAAAAAATTATTTCCATCAAACATTACATAAAGAAAAATAGAAGTTGCTTCTGTAAGAAAATACAACTTGCTTCATAGGAATTCCAAATTTGCTTCCATATATAGAAGTCCCTTCGAATAACAGGAATGTATCATGGGGTTAGGTTTTTACTCATCTCCACACGACACAAACACCACCAAGAATGGTCGCGCATCCTTCCACATACAGCCAGTTCAAGAGGTTTTCACACCCTTCCTGACTAGTGGTCCACCTCGATGATGATGATGGCACAATGAAGAGCAGAACCAACAAAGCACACCTCGACGACATTGTCGGATGTAGAATTTGATGAATGTGGGAGCAAGCAATGGCAATGACGGTTGAATTGCACAAAAATGGCTAAATGTATATACATATGCACTAGTAAAAGTAAATCTGCAAATTGCTTGTGAGGGCATTGCCCCCATGACCCCCACACTGGATGCGCCCATGCTCGATGACGATGGTGAGGATGTGCAGGACAAGCTAGCAAGACCAAAGGAAGCACACCCTCCAGGAAAACACCAACTGAGAAATTGATAAATTTCTTTCGTTATCAATTAAATATATAAATTGTAGTACGCTCTAGTAAAGATAATAATATGAGAATTGCCAGAACAACTGATAACATACGATCAGTGAAAATAATTAAGTACAATGGGAGATAATAACTTAACTGGTTAACCACACAATGGCAACGAGGAAATGAGGTAGCCAGGAAAGGAATGATGCAAAGCATGCACAAGATATACTGGAGTATGTGATGAAACTAGAAGCATGGGGAAATGTTCAAACTAGAATACCTCAGAAGAATGGAACAACAAGGACATAAAGGTAGAAGCATGGATGTAATTATGCAACTTAGCCAAGGAAAACCAAGAAGCAGAAGGCCAGTGTTTAAGTTACAATAATGCAAAACAATAGAAATATCTGTTAAGACATAGTATGGCAAAATGTAGGAAGCATGAAGCTGAGGAACCCGACATTACATATCTTTGTATGATGCATATATCATTGATAATGGATAACAAACCAACTAGCTATCAACATGGGGATGCATATTTTGTGTCGCTGATATACAAACTAAACCGATCATATATGTTGATCAACGGAAGCATTTCTTTGTACCGACAAAAAAAATGATTGTAATATAGAAGCGACACTGTAAGAAGCATGGAAAAGATGCAAATGGGCACATTACAAGTGTAAGGTGGAAGCTTCTGATCGACTGGAATCGATCAGTTTGACGAATATTTTGCTAATAAATATGTAACGTCGGAGCCGTGCGATTCAACTAGAATCGACCGCAGTCAAATGCTTCTGATTAGACTACTGATTAAAAGCATTTCCTTTTTTTAAAGGCAATGCCCGACATGCTCGCTCTATTTGGTCGTTCCGCCAGACTCACTAGCCCAACATTTTGTTTAGAAGGCATTTTGCAGACATTATTTTTCATAGTTACAGATTTTGTTTCTACAAAACAATGTTGTCAGTGTTCGAAAATTTTCATCCCGAAATAACATTTGTGGAAGTCATGGTAAAAAAACAAAATAGACACTCCAAAAATGCTAGTGTTGTTTTTGTTTCTTTTTTCATGACTTCCACGAATGTTTTTTAGGGATGAAAATTTGCAACAAAAAAATTCCAAAATTGTAAAGAACAAACATTTTTTTTCAGAATTCACTGTTCACCCCGAGCTCAAATGAGCTCGGGAGTACAAGGGGACTTTCGGGGAGAGATGTCATACTCTGTTGCATCAGTGGCTGAGCCAAATGTAGCAAAAGATCTCCCTTTGCATTTGCAGTTCAAAGACCATGATGCCCATTATAGCTGACACATATTTATTTATTTTTTGAAAGGAGACGGGTTTCCTCCCTGCCTCAAGATTATTAAGAAGAGGCACCAGCCGGACCAAACATCGTTATACAGAGCTTGATTGCAATCTGAGTAGCTGCAACGGAATTATTACACACACAACTCGCAACCAGAGTAGCTGCAACAGAATTATCATTCAAAGCAACAAGCAAAGGGGCCACAAGAACAAGACAGATGGAATATAAGAACATCAGCCAGCTAACCTATATCTGTGTGAGCCCACCGACACCGTACGCCTCTGCTCGCTCTGCTAGCGTCCTGCTAGAGTCGTCCGGCTCATGCTGTTAACAGAGTCCTCCCTCGCTTCTTCAGCTTCACGTCTCCTTCCAACGAAATACGAAGGCTGCCTTGGTATCGTGAGTGGCATGGCCTCGTTTTCCAGCATAGAGACCAAAGCGACATGAGTGGCCTGGCACTCGGGCTGCCCTGAACGCACGATAATGCGATATGGATGCACAACGACTCTTGATGCAGCGAGCAGCTGTTCAGCAGCACAGTTTCTAGGAAATCCCTTGAGTTTCCTTCTTTCAGTAAGTTCCATGCCTGAAACATGGCCGAGGATAATAAGTTGGTATCTACGTTCGCCATGTTGTACTTGAGCAGGCCAAATTCAAAGTATTTGGTAGCACTTACATAATCTATAAGGTTTGGGAATTCCCTTATAAGATGTTGAGGTGAGCTAATCTTTAACCCACTTACAATCTCCAGTAGCAAGATCCCATAGCTATATGTGTCGGACTTGACCGAAAAAATGCCTTCCATCGCATATTCGGGCGACATGTAACCGCTGTTTGAATAGTTTCACAAGCAAGTGCACATGAATTAATTAGTTGAAGCACATAAATAATCATTTGAGCATGTTTAGTCTAGTGAAGGAATTAATAGTTTAATACTCACTATGTCCCGACAACATGCCTAGTATTTGCTTGTTGCTGGTTGTCACCAAAGATCCTTGCTATGCCAAAATCTGATATGTTGGGTCTCAACTCCGCATCCAACAGGATGTTGCTTGCTTTGAGATCTCTGTGAATTATCGTCATTCTAGAATCGTGGTGTAGGTACACAAGTCCTTTAGCTACCCCTTTGATTATACTAAACCTTGCTGGCCAATCAAGCATAGATCTTTTAGCATCATCTGTACGCCGACAACAAAGCATGTGAAGCCATGTTAGTCTTAAAATCAAGCATGCTCATTCTCTGGACGTAAGAATCAATATACATGATTAGGACATACCAAATAGGAAGTAGTCCAAGCTTTTGTTGGGTAAGTATTCGTAAATAAGAAGCTTCTCAGCTCCATGGACACAGTAACCAAGAAGTCTAACTAAGTTTCTGTGCTGCAGTTTTGCAATAAGAACTACTTCATTTCTAAAATGCTCCATTCCTTGATCAGAGCACTTGGTTAGCCTTTTAACAGCAACTTCCTTGCCACCTTCCAGTTTTCCCTACGTGGTTACATAGTTCAGATTAATACTGAAAGAATACCTTCCACTATTGCAATCGTCAAAGTGACATTTATGTTACCTTGTATACTATGCCAAAGCCCCCTCTTCCAAGCACAATGGAGTTAGAGAAACCGTCTGTAGCAGGGACAATGTCTTCGTAGCTGATCCACAAAAAAATTGAATTCTCATCGTATAGTCCATCAGAACTGTCCGGTTCTAGCATCGCAAAATTTAGGGGAACCTTGGTTTGGTCCTTGCCTGCCAGGAATCCATACCAGTTATGTTAATCGCTAATGCATTAACATGGCATTAACTTGGATATATAATTGAATCTTGTTCAACCTCTCAACTTGCGTATCCAGACAAGACAAATGCACACAAGTATCAGTAGACTTGCCGTGACTGGGAGTACAATCTTCAGTGCACCAGTCTTCTTACGGACTGCAAGACAACAGATAGAATACTTACTCACTATACATAAAAGTTGATTGACGAAGTGTGTATATCCAGGCCAACTATTGGTTTACGTGGAAGGGAGAGGGAAACAAAAGAGAAAGAGAAAAACATATATGGATATCTACTGTGATACTGTATCTTCTCACAAAACATTAAGTAAAGTACAAGAAAAATAATGTTGGGAAGCAAGTTGTATCTAGTGTAAAATTGACCGCAGTCACCAAACACGCTAACATATAGACTCATGAGCATGTAAATGTTTGCCATGTGAAATAGTAAAACTTGAATACACCTGATGAAGAAGGATACTGCCTTTGATCTAAAGTAGGGAGAGCAAAACTGGTAGTAGTGAGCTGACCATGAACTTGTCGGGAGTCCTCATATTAAGCAAGGTAACGAAACTATCTCCTTGACCACAATGCAGCTGCTTCTTTCTCTGACATCCTAGGGAAAAGTCAAGACCAATAGATTCATATCCATCAAGGCACTTGCACGTCGCAACTGCATGCGTGGTATCACAATAGCCAAACAGGCCGCATGAAGCATAGCGGTCACAGCTAGGACCGGGCCGCTCAAAGAAAACCTCCCAAGCTAATGAGTTGTTGTTCCACGCCAGGAATTTCACCATGCCCATGTAGTGCAGCACCATGCGCATGCCTGGTGAGCCGTTAGAGACAGTGTACGTCAAGTAAAACTCACCACCTCTGTTGACAATTGTTTGGGACATGATGGGACCTGATTCCCTCTGATACATGGCAGAGACCAATACACCATCCAGCGCAGCCCAGCGCCAGTATGGCCTCGTCCTATTCCAAACGAGGATCTGGAGGCTTGAGTCACCACCCAAGGAGTAGTCACTCGTAGATGGGTCATCAGGGGCTCTCCAGGCAACGAGGTGCGTGGAGAGGTTGTTGTTGTTGCTCAGCTGTAAACTCACATTTGGGAGAATGGTGTCGACTGGGTGATGGAAGCTCTGCCATATATCTGTGCCATTCGGCAACCTGATAACCAAGTTCCCAGAGTCCAGCAGCATGGCAGCAGCTCCGGTGGCTTCAGTGGTGATGTTGTTCGTGGTTGTCCAAAGAGTGCTTCCTTTGGAGTCTAACAAGACAAGATCAGAGCTGCTGGTCAGAACAAACTTACCAGAGGAGCTGCCAGTGATAGGGCTGTCGTGGTGTGCGACCCACACATATGTTCGCTCGGGGATGTTGTGGTACCATATGCCGACATATGAGTTTGCAGTTGAGTTTTTCGGGGAGAAGAAGCCAAGAGCAAAGATGCTACCATTTGAGATGAGCCTGTCGCCGATGGAGAGTGGCTTTGCAGGTGTTAGGCGATCCTTGGAGTTGCAGAAACAAATCAGTAACAGGAGGGCGAAAACAGGGAGCAGAATCATGCCCATTAGGCCTTCTGCATATGCTTGTGAAGAGGAAAGTAAGGAGATATTGTGTGAACTATGAAGATGCTTCAGACTGTTTGCTTGGATGGCTCAAATGTGCGAGGTAGGAGCTGAAGTACTGTATCAGAGTATTGGTATTCCTGATGTGGCTTGTCACATTAGCACCAGTTTTGTATCCGGTTGTCCACACAAAGTCCAGCCTAGATTGATAGGGGAAAGGCAAGTGTGTACACAAGACCGCGAGGTCTCCGCGGTGTATTGAAGATCAAGAAACTAGAAATATCTCACATGCTACATCCGGGGCCGACGGTGTTGCCTGACTGAATCAAGCACGGAGAAACTCATCAGCTGTCACCTGTCCCGGTTTGCAGCCATCGCTGGGCGTCGGTCACTGTCGCCATGAAGAAAATCTGCGCCATGTGGATCCGGGGACTTGGACTTGCACGGCAACCAGTCAAATTTACTGCCAGAGATATTCAGATTTCACCATCCAGCACCCTTGCCGTTAAGCAAGGGTTCACAAGTACAGCCACAATCAGTCAACAAGCAAGGTTTCACAACTACAACAAAAACTGAAATTGGAGAGCACCGTCGGGGCGACAAGCAACGGTTCACAACAAGTAGGCCAAGAAATGAGTTACCATCAGGTGGAGCTCAGTCGGGGCAGCTCGCGGCGACGCGCCGGGTTGGGGACTGACTCGGCTTTCGACCTCAGGTCTCTGGCGCGGCGAATGCCGGGGACGTTGAACGCGGCGCGGGCCATCATAGCTATACATATTTAAAAATTGTAATATGTGTTTAAAAAATAAGTATGTTTGTGAGCCATGTGCATCTTGCTGTACATATTTCTCTTCTTTGTTTCTTGAACAAGCTGTACATATGTTAGGTGGTATCGTCTTGACACGAATTATTGAGTGAAAAAATTGTCCTGTCAAAATATGTAGTATCTGCACAATATAGTTGCACCTAAATATGTTCATATGTGAATGTTTTCCGAAAAAAATGTGTTACCCGTTTGCCAGTGTTGTCGCAAGTTGAAGGGCGACTAGGGTCCTGCTGGCGGCGCCACAAGTCCATCTCATCTCCTGTGGCCTTAGGTCATGGAGGCGTGGTGGATCTCGGCCCTTGTGGATTGGGGGGTCATGTTTCGTGTTTTAGGTGTCTTTTTGTGCATGTTTAAGGTTTGTGTCCTATTTAGAAATAGGAGGCAAAGATGGAATAAGGCTCTTCTCGCCTAACAGGGCATGTGGAGGTGTGTCTTCGGTGGATCTCGCAGGATTTAGCCGGTGTTCTACGGAAACAAACAAGGGTTCACACTTCACTCCTATACAACAAAACGAAAAGGGGTATGGTAAAAAATAAGTTACCATCGGGTGGAGCTCCATCGGGGCAACTGGCGGCAACACTCCGGATTGGGGACTAACTTGGTTTTCGACCTTAGATCTCTGGTGGGAACGAACACCGGCGATGTTGAACGGGGCTCGAGGCCTGAAGATGGAGAGGAGGCGGAGACGCATATCAGTGACGGCGGCATGACGGGGAGAAGAAGCCTCGGCAGCAGATGGGGAGCGCCGACAGCAGCGAGGAAAGCGGCCGCGAGTGCGATAACCACGGGACTGGAACTAGACGGCGGAAGTGATCTTGTGCGGTCGTGCATTTGTTATTCTCTCCACGCTTGCGTTTTTGCCTTCTCTTGTTTGTCACCGGGCCCAAAAGCTACATTTCTTTTTGAGAAACACCGTAATTTTATTCATACTCATAACAAGTACATGCACACTGATTTGAACATAAGATCCAAGAATATACAAAGTAACTCATATGACTAAGAATTACAATGAACTCTCTTGAAAACACCTTTTTCACGGCGGCAATCTCTGCTTCAAGAAATACTCCAAAAACTTCAGTAAAGAGGTTGCAATTGAAGTGGGGCAATGATGTTGTCACTCTTAAACCCGCATGAACATTATCAATAATGATTTTCTTTACAACACCCTGAGTAGCTACTATTCTTTCATGTGCCTTCAGTAGCGGAACAGGGTCACCTAAAAAAAATAGAGAAACGGGCAGCATATCCGCTCTCTTGCATTTGCCAGCCCTAAAAAACACATCTGCCAGCCTAAATAAAGGAAACATTTGCCAAAATTGCTTTTGAAGGCCGAGCTTTATGGAGACCTCCAAATGAAAAATTCAAAATTCATGAAAATTCATATTTTTACATTTCAAAAAATTCTGAAAAAATATAGATATAGATGAAGGCAGCACAAGTGCAAAATTTTCAGGACGAAATACGTTGAAATTAGGGTTGTGCAAAAAAAAAAAGTCTGGGGCTTTTTAACGCATGTTACTATTCTTCATCCTGAAATTTTACTCACATACACGACGAATCCTTGTTTACTTGCACATATTTTTTTGAAACGGAAAATTTTGAAATTTGTAGGAAAAATCCCTACTAAAACATTTGCCCCTAAAAACTTTTTGGTTGCATCGTTCAAACTAAGGACCTTCATAGGAAAAATCCCTATGAATTTAAATCCTTCAAAATTTCTACGAAAACATTTCAAACATAACAGAAGAATATTACATCTGTCCACAAAAAGAAGTGTTCACCGCCACTCATTTGTGAGTACTAGTACAAATCCAAAGCGAGGGAGTATATGCTTCTTGGGTTATTCAAAATGTTCACCATAAAACCAAGCTTTCAGCATACTACTTTAAATGACTCAACCGACAGAGGAAACACTGAACAAGAAACTTTATATAGGGAAAACAAACACATAAAAGTTCGCGATACATGCATGTTGAGGTAGCTTCCTTCACTTTGGTAGATGAGAATGCTCAAACTAGTACACAGATCAAGGAGACTGTATGTACAAACATGACCCGCGAGTTGAGAACGATTTATTCAATTGTGCAATTGTTTGTGTATGCAAACATGACCCAACTGCAGATTTGTGAGCAATTTATGAAACAATGAACAGCGGAACTAAACATTTGACGTCCCGCCAGTGTTGTGAGGCTCATGTTATTCTCAAAACTTCCCATATATTTTCTCCAGTCTTCGGCTTCATGGCTCTGTAGTGTGAAATATGTAGGTTTCCTGGGGGCAAGAAGCAGAGTTGTTTCGTTCTCTAACATGAACACAATGGATGACATGGGTGGCCTAGCATTTGGATGGTCTTGAACACACAGGAGCCCTATGTGAACACATCGTAGAACTTCATCAAGTGGACAACTCTCCACAACCGACCGGTCCACCAATTCGCTTGCATTTCCATCAACCCATAAGCTCCATGCCTGAAAAAGTGAAATCAATTTCTAGTCAAATTATCATGAGTGTTTAAGCCGTTCAAAATTAGAACATTTAAGTA